GAAGCCCATTATACCAGAATTTCAAATGGATCGAACAACCACATGAATAGTTCTTGGGCTTAGACTATGAAAATGATCAATAAAATTAATATTAATAAGCACATCCTCTTGTATTTTTCCAATAGACTATTGAGAATATTTTGAAACTTTCAGTATAGAAAGAGGAAGGTTAGAAGCCCATTATACCAGAATTTCAAATGGATCGAACAACCACATGAATAGTTCTTGGGCTTAGACTATGAAAATGATCAATAAAATTAATATGAATAAGCACATCCTCTTGTACTCTTGTATTTTTCCAATAGACTATTGAGAATATTTTGAAACTTTCAGTATAGAAAGAGGAAGGTTAGAAGCCCATTATACCAGAATTTCAAATGGATCGAACAACCACATGAATAGTTCTTGGGCTTAGACTATGAAAATTACCAATAAAATTAATATGTATGAATAAGCACATCCTATTGTAATTTTATATTTTTCCAATAGACTGTTGAGAATATTTTGAAACTTTCAGTATAGAAAGAGGAAGGTTAGAAGCCCATTATACCAGAATTTCAAATGGATCCAACAACCACATGAATAGTTCTTGGGCTTAGACTATGAAAATGATCAATAAAATTAATATTAATAAGCACATCCTCTTGTACTCTTGTATTTTTCCAATAGACTATTGAGAATATTTTGAAACTTTCAGTATAGGAAGAGGACGGTTAGAAGCCCATTATACTAAAATTTCAAAGGGATCCAACAACCACATGAACAGTTCTTGGGGTTAGACTGTGAAAATGATCAATAAAATTAATATTAATAAGCACATCCTCTTGTACTCTTGTATTTTTCCAATAGACTATTGAGAATATTTTGAAACTTTCAGTATAAAAAGAGGAAGGTTAGAAGCCCATTATACCAGAATTTCAAATGGATCGAACAACCACATGAATAGTTCTTGGGCTTAGACTATGAAAATGATCAATAAAATTAATATTAATAAGCACATCCTCTTGTACTCTTGTATTTTTCCAATAGACTATTGAGAATATTTTGAAACTTTCAGTATAGGAAGAGGACGGTTAGAAGCCCATTATACTAAAATTTCAAAGGGATCCAACAACCACATGAACAGTTCTTGGGGTTAGACTGTGAAAATGATCAATAAAATTAATATTAATAAGCACATCCTCTTGTACTCTTGTATTTTTCCAATAGACTATTGAGAATATTTTGAAACTTTCAGTATAGAAAGAGGAAGGTTAGAAGCCCATTATACCAAAATTTCAAATGGATCCAACAACCACATGAATAGTTCTTGGGCTTAGACTATGAAAATTACCAATAAAATTAATATGTATGAATAAGCACATCCTATTGTAATTTTATATTTTTCCAATAGACTGTTGAGAATATTTTGAAACTTTCAGTATAGAAAGAGGAAGGTTAGAAGCCCATTATACCAGAATTTCAAATGGATCGAACAACCACATGAATAGTTCTTGGGCTTAGACTATGAAAATGATCAATAAAATTAATATTAATAAGCACATCCTCTTGTACTCTTGTATTTTTCCAATAGACTATTGAGAATATTTTGAAACTTTCAGTATAGAAAGAGGAAGGTTAGAAGCCCATTATACCAGAATTTCAAATGGATCGAACAACCACATGAATAGTTCTTGGGCTTAGACTATGAAAATGATCAATAAAATTAATATTAATAAGCACATCCTCTTGTACTCTTGTATTTTTCCAATAGACTATTGAGAATATTTTGAAACTTTCAGTATAGAAAGAGGAAGGTTAGAAGCCCATTATACCAGAATTTCAAATGGATCGAACAACCACATGAATAGTTCTTGGGCTTAGACTATGAAAATGATCAATAAAATTAATATTAATAAGCACATCCTCTTGTATTTTTCCAATAGACTATTGAGAATATTTTGAAACTTTCAGTATAGAAAGAGGAAGGTTAGAAGCCCATTATACCAGAATTTCAAATGGATCGAACAACCACATGAATAGTTCTTGGGCTTAGACTATGAAAATGATCAATAAAATTAATATTAATAAGCACATCCTCTTGTACTCTTGTATTTTTCCAATAGACTATTGAGAATATTTTGAAACTTTCAGTATAGAAAGAGGAAGGTTAGAAGCCCATTATACCAGAATTTCAAATGGATCGAACAACCACATGAATAGTTCTTGGGCTTAGACTATGAAAATGATCAATAAAATTAATATTAATAAGCACATACTCTTGTACTCTTGTATTTTTCCAATAGACTATTGAGAATATTTTGAAACTTTCAGTATAGGAAGAGGAAGGTTAGAAGCCCATTATACTAAAATTTCAAATGGATCCAACAACCACATGAACAGTTCTTGGGGTTAGACTGTGAAAATGATCAATAAAATTAATATTAATAAGCACATCCTCTTGTACTCTTGTATTTTTCCAATAGACTATTGAGAATATTTTGAAACTTTCAGTATAGAAAGAGGAAGGTTAGAAGCCCATTATACCAAAATTTCAAATGGATCCAACAACCACATGAATAGTTCTTGGGCTTAGACTATGAAAATTACCAATAAAATTAATATGTATGAATAAGCACATCCTATTGTAATTTTATATTTTTCCAATAGACTATTGAGAATATTTTGAAACTTTCAGTATAGAAAGAGGAAGGTTAGAAGCCCATTATACCAGAATTTCAAATGGATCGAACAACCACATGAATAGTTCTTGGGCTTAGACTATGAAAATGATCAATAAAATTAATATTAATAAGCACATCCTCTTGTACTCTTGTATTTTTCCAATAGACTATTGAGAATATTTTGAAACTTTCAGTATAGGAAGAGGAAGGTTAGAAGCCCATTATACTAAAATTTCAAATGGATCCAACAACCACATGAACAGTTCTTGGGGTTAGACTGTGAAAATGATCAATAAAATTAATATTAATAAGCACATCCTCTTGTACTCTTGTATTTTTCCAATAGACTATTGAGAATATTTTGAAACTTTCAGTATAGAAAGAGGAAGGTTAGAAGCCCATTATACCAAAATTTCAAATGGATCCAACAACCACATGAATAGTTCTTGGGCTTAGACTATGAAAATTACCAATAAAATTAATATGTATGAATAAGCACATCCTATTGTAATTTTATATTTTTCCAATAGACTGTTGAGAATATTTTGAAACTTTCAGTATAGAAAGAGGAAGGTTAGAAGCCCATTATACCAGAATTTCAAATGGATCGAACAACCACATGAATAGTTCTTGGGCTTAGACTATGAAAATGATCAATAAAATTAATATTAATAAGCATACTCTTGTACTCTTGTATTTTTCCAATAGACTATTGAGAATATTTTGAAACTTTCAGTATAGGAAGAGGAAGGTTAGAAGCCCATTATACTAAAATTTCAAATGGATCCAACAACCACATGAACAGTTCTTGGGGTTAGACTGTGAAAATGATCAATAAAATTAATATTAATAAGCACATCCTCTTGTACTCTTGTATTTTTCCAATAGACTATTGAGAATATTTTGAAACTTTCAGTATAGAAAGAGGAAGGTTAGAAGCCCATTATACCAAAATTTCAAATGGATCCAACAACCACATGAATAGTTCTTGGGCTTAGACTATGAAAATGACCAATAAAATTAATATGAATAAGCACATCCTCTTGTACTCTTGTATTTTTCCAATAGACTATTGAGAATATTTTGAAAGTTTCAGTATAGGAAGAGGACGGTTAGAAGCCCATTATACTAAAATTTCAAAGGGATCCAACAACCACATGAACAGTTCTTGGGGTTAGACTGTGAAAATGATCAATAAAATTAATATTAATAAGCACATCCTCTTGTACTCTTGTATTTTTCCAATAGACTATTGAGAATATTTTGAAACTTTCAGTATAGAAAGAGGAAGGTTAGAAGCCCATTATACCAGAATTTCAAATGGATCGAACAACCACATGAATAGTTCTTGGGCTTAGACTATGAAAATGATCAATAAAATTAATATTAATAAGCACATCCTCTTGTACTCTTGTATTTTTCCAATAGACTATTGAGAATATTTTGAAACTTTCAGTATAGGAAGAGGAAGGTTAGAAGCCCATTATACTAAAATTTCAAATGGATCCAACAACCACATCAACAGTTCTTGGGGTTAGACTGTGAAAATGATCAATAAAATTAATATGAATAAGCGCATCCTCTTGTATTCTTGTATTTTTCCAATAGACTGTTGAGAATATTTTGAAACTTTTAGTATAGAAAGAGAAAGGTTAGAAGCCCATTATACCAGAATTTCAAATGGATCGAACAACCACATGAATAGTTCTTGGGCTTGGACTATGAGAATTACCGTTAAAATTAATATGAATAAGCACATCCTATTTTAATTTTATATTTTTCCAATATACTGTTGAGAATATTTTGAAACTTTCAGTATAGAAAGAGGACGGTTAGAAGCCCATTATAATAAAATTTCAAATGGATCCAACAACAACATGAACAGTTCTTGGGCTTAGACTGTGAAAATTACCAATAAAATTAATATAAATAGGAACATCCTCTTTGCACTTTTATATTTTTCCAATAAACTGTTGAGGAGAATATTTTGAAACTTTCAGTATAGGAAGAGGAAGGTTAGAAGCCGATTATACTAAAATTTCACTTGAATCCAACAACCATACATGAACAGTTCTTGCTGGAACCTTTCTAAAGATGCATAGGATAACGTTCAATTTTTTTTTCAAGATTTATAGAGAATTTCAAGGACTTTTAGATGGGATACTAGAACTATTGAGAAAAAAACTGCCACCCTAAACTACAAGGTGATTTTCAGGAAACTGCAAAATTAGAAGTTTCTCAAGAAAACCACAAACAATTTAGACTAGTGGTATTCTAAAGGTCATATAGAATCTGAGACCAGAAGACTGACGAGATAAAAGTACCAGAGACTGGAGACTAGGACCAAAAAGTCCCTATGAAGCTGGATTTAATAATGATTTTTAATTTACTCAATAAGTTACTTACCGTTAAAATGGCAAACATCATCTGAGCCACATTAAAAGCGTGCCTCCAATTATGGTAAGTCACATTTCTGTAATTTTTCTTTACAGAGCACAGCCATCGGCACAGGACTTCATAATCCATGTGAAATCTTTCGACTAGATCAAGATCAAGGAACATTCTAATACAAGCCTAGAAAAAAAAAAACACATAAAGTTGTTATCGCTCCAATTTCGACCCACACACAAAACCCTCGGTGAAATAAAAATATATTTCCCCAGTGGATACCTTTTTTTCCCTTAAGAGATATTTGAACCGTTCATTCGTTATCTGCACAATGATTGATTGTGAAAAGTGTAGGTATAAGAGTAAATTAATTAACTTACAGTTAGCGTTTCGTCGTCAACCATTTTGATATCGTCAAACGCAAAATCGTGCAGCCTGAAATTTGCTGCAGAAGGTACCCGTAAACTCTAAAAAAAAGTTTAAGTTTTGATAAAAAAGTAACTTTATAGGTCTATTCTCACAAGAGTTTGCAAACTGTCAGAAAGTTTCGCTGATAGATGTTTTCAAAGAAAAATCCTTGTTGTGAGAGCAGACCTTATACCTACTGACAAGTTCTTACCCGTAATTTTTGTGCATCCTCAAAACTGGCAGTAGCATGATAAGATAACACATCCAAAGTAACATTTTGTTTGGCAATAGCAACCATAGCCTTCTCATACATGTGTGTATTGTGAATGCCCATACCACAAAAGATAGCAAAAGCTTCTACAAAGTTTTCGTCGTTTTTGGTAAATTGGAGATCATTGAATTTGTTGATCAGCTGAATGACGCCGATGATATCGCCGGAGGAGTTTTTGATGGCCATGCACATAATGGTTTTGTGTTTGAAGTTGGTACCATCGTCTACGCTGGGGTCAAATCTGGGGTCTTCGTCTGCTTGCGCTATGTTCACAGTTTCTCCTGTTGTTGCAACGTAACCGGTGATACCGATGTTGATTGGAAATCGACTTTCGAATGGACTGAAAAATGTGAAGAGAGCATTGTTATCAATAAGGAAGATTTTGCTTCATTTAAATCAATTGCAGGTCCTCTACAATCTACAGTTAGTATCTAAGTCAAAAGCTTTGATTTCACGATGATATCAGAGCACGATATGATATTTATCTAAGAAAATGTGATGTAAACACAATTCAATTGTAATTGAGAAAATCAAAGTTCAGTTTCAGAGAAGAGGGAACATATAGGTTCCTATTTCAGAATAGGTAGAATGAAATTCAGAAAAAGTGTAAATTTAATTTCAGATAATACTAGAATATGTTCTTCCTAATTCAGAATAGTATAATATGCACCTCATGATATACGTTTTTGGGAACATGTAGGTCTACCTATTTCAGAATAGGAAGAATGAAATTCAGATAGAAAGCTGAAATTTTCAGTAAAGGACAACAATCCCTGAAAATTCTAGAAATTTAAGTCCAAAATCTCTAGTATTGCGTTTCCAAGATCTTGATTCTTGAGAGAATTAGTTTTATTCATAATAATGATATTCAATATAGAAGTTTTCTAGGTTTTAGGTCTCAACTCGAGGTTTCAGGATTGAGCCATGATTCTTTCTTCAATGTTATAGGTACCTCTTGAAACATAGGATCATTAGTTGTTGGTTGCTGCCATAAATTCAAGTGTAGAATCCTTAGTATTTGTATTTTCACAATTTCAGAGTTTCCAGTATTGATCATTTCCAATGTTAAGTCTTGAAAAATGAGCCTTGCTTAGGATTCAGTCTTCAGTATTCACAAGTTCCACTTTTGAGTAGCATTCGAATTTTCAGGATGTCAAATCTTGATTTTTCAAAATTCTCTAGATTCAAAGATGATTCTTTATAGTCTTCAGTATTAATTTCTGAGTCATGATTCCATAATTCTTTGAAATCTTTGTTGTTCTCAGAATCTTCACTGTAGAATACGTAGTACTGAGTCTTGAATTTCCGTATTGGGTTACGGCTCCTTAGGATGCTGAAAAATTCAGCTCATTTGTACTTATAGTTCCTGAGATAAAATCGTGTTAAGCAATTGGGGTGATTTATCAATTTTTCAATTTTTCTGAGTGCCTTTTTTCATAGATTTCGACTTCAAATCTGAGAATAATTTAGTTTATGGAGTTCAGGGTATCACGAGGGACCATTAAGACACAAAATCTCGACAGAAAAAAATTTGAAATTTCATCGTTTTAGTAAGAAGGTACCCCCCTTATGATTTTTTTGGAATATTTTGACAGGTCATAACTTTTTTTCTATTACAGATAGAAAGCTGAATCTTTCACTGAATTTTATCCCTTTCAAAGGACTACAATCCCTGAGAATTTCAGCTCATTTGCACTTATAGTTCCTGAGATAAAATCGTGTTAAACAATTGGGGTGATTTATCAATTTTTCAATTTTTCTGAGTGCCTTTTTTCATAGATTTCGGCTTCAAATCTGAGAATAATTTAGTTTATGGAGTTCAGGGTATCACGAGGAACCATTAAGACACAAAATCTCGACAAAAAAAAAATTGAAATTTCATCGTTTTAGTAAGAAGGTACCCCCCTTATGATTTTTTTGGAAAATTTTGACAGGTCATAACTTTTTTTCTATTATAGATAGAAAGCTGAATCTTTCACTGAATTTTATCCCTTTCAAAGGACTACAATCCCTGAGAATTTCAGCTCATTTGCACTTATAGTTCCTGAGATAAAATCGTGTTAAACAATTGGGGTGATTTATCAATTTTTCAATTTTTCTGAGTGCCTTTTTTCATAGATTTCGGCTTCAAATCTGAGAATAATTTAGTTTATGGAGTTCAGGGTATCACGAGGGACCATTAAGACACAAAATCTCGATAGAAAAAAATTTGAAATTTTATCGTTTTAGTAAGAAGGTACCCCCCTTATGATTTTTTTGGAATATTTTGACAGGTCATAACTTTTTTTCTATTACAGATAGAAAGCTGAATCTTTCACTGAATTTTATCCCTTTCAAAGGACTACAATCCCTGAGAATTTCAGCTCATTTGCACTTATAGTTCCTGAGATAAAATCGTGTTAAACAATTGGGGCGATTTATCAATTTTTCCATTTTTCTGAGTGCCTTTTTTCATAGATTTCGGCTTCAAATCTGAGAATAATTTAGTTTATGGAGTTCAGGGTATCACGAGGGACCATTAAGACACAAAATCTCGACAGAAAAAAATTTGAAATTTTATCGTTTTAGTAAGAAGGTACCCCCCTTATGATTTTTTTGGAAAATTTTGACAGGTCATAACTTTTTTTCTATTACAGATAGAAAGCTGAATCTTTCACTGAATTTTATCCCTTTCAAAGGACTACAATCCCTGAAAATTTCAGCACATTTGCACTTATAGTTCCTGAGATAAAATCGTGTTAAGCAATTGGGGTGATTTGACAATTTTTCAATTTTTCTGAGTGCCTTTTTTCATAGATTTCGGCTTCAAATCTGAGAATAATTTAGTTTATGGAGTTCAGTGTATCACGAGGGACCATTAAGACACAAAATCTCGACAGAAAAAAATTTGAAATTTCATCGTTTTAGTAAGAAGGTACCCCCCTTATGATTTTTTTGGAAAATTTTGACAGGTCATAACTTTTTTTCTATTACAGATAGAAAGCTGAATCTTTCACTGAATTTTATCCCTTTCAAAGGACTACAATCCCTGAAAATTTCAGCACATTGACACTTATAGTTCCTGAGATAACATCGTGTTAAGCAATTGGGGTGATTTATCAATTTTTCAATTTTTCTGAGTGCCTTTTTTCATAGATTTCGGCTTCAAATCTGAGAATAATTTAGTTTATGGAAATCAGGGTATCACGAGGGACCATTAAGACACAAAATCTCGACAGAAAAAAATTTGAAATTTCATCGTTTTAGTAAGAAGGTACCCCCCTTATGATTTTTTTGGAAAATTTTGACAGGTCATAACTTTTTTTCTATTACAGATAGAAAGCTGAATCTTTCACTGAATTTTATCCCTTTCAAAGGACTACAATCCCTGAAAATTTCAGCACATTGACACTTATAGTTCCTGAGATAACATCGTGTTAAGCAATTGGGGTGATTTATCAATTTTTCAATTTTTCTGAGTGCCTTTTTTCATAGATTTCGGCTTCAAATCTGAGAATAATTTAGTTTATGGAGTTCAGGGTATCACGAGGGACCATTAAGACACAAAATCTCGACAGAAAAAAATTTGAAATTTCATCGTTTTAGTAAGAAGGTACCCCCCTTATGATTTTTTTGGAAAATTTTGACAGGTCATAACTTTTTTTCTATTACAGATAGAAAGCTGAATCTTTCACTGAATTTTATCCCTTTCAAAGGACTACAATCCCTGAAAATTTCAGCACATTGACACTTATAGTTCCTGAGATAACATCGTGTTAAGCAATTGGGGTGATTTATCAATTTTTCAATTTTTCTGAGTGCCTTTTTTCATAGATTTCGGCTTCAAATCTGAGAATAATTTAGTTTATGGAGTTCAGGGTATCACGAGGGACCATTAAGACACAAAATCTCGACAGAAAAAAATTTGAAATTTCATCGTTTTAGTAAGAAGGTACCCCCCTTATGATTTTTTTGGAAAATTTTGACAGGTCATAACTTTTTTTCTATTACAGATAGAAAGCTGAATCTTTCACTGAATTTTATCCCTTTCAAAGGACTACAATCCCTGAAAATTTCAGCACATTGACACTTATAGTTCCTGAGATAACATCGTGTTAAGCAATTGGGGTGATTTATCAATTTTTCAATTTTTCTGAGTGCCTTTTTTCATAGATTTCGGCTTCAAATCTGAGAATAATTTAGTTTATGGAGTTCAGTGTATCACGAGGGACCATTAAGACACAAAATCTCGACAGAAAAAAATTTGAAATTTCATCGTTTTAGTAAGAAGGTACCCCCCTTATGATTTTTTTGGAAAATTTTGACAGGTCATAACTTTTTTTCTATTACAGATAGAAAGCTGAATCTTTCACTGAATTTTATCCCTTTCAAAGGACTACAATCCCTGAAAATTTCAGCACATTGACACTTATAGTTCCTGAGATAACATCGTGTTAAGCAATTGGGGTGATTTATCAATTTTTCAATTTTTCTGAGTGCCTTTTTTCATAGATTTCGGCTTCAAATCTGAGAATAATTTAGTTTATGGAGTTCAGGGTATCACGAGGGACCATTAAGACACAAAATCTCGACAGAAAAAAATTTGAAATTTTATCGTTTTAGTAAGAAGGTACCCCCCTTATGATTTTTTTGGAAAATTTTGACAGGTCATAACTTTTTTTCTATTATAGATAGAAAGCTGAATCTTTCACTGAATTTTATCCCTTTCAAAGGACTACAATCCCTGAAAATTTCAGCTCATTTGCACTTATAGTTCCTGAGATAAAATCGTGTTAAACAATTGGGGTGATTTATCAATTTTTCAATTTTTCTGAGTGCCTTTTTTCATAGATTTCGGCTTCAAATCTGAGAATAATTTAGTTTATGGAAGTCAGGGTATCACGAGGGACCATTAAGACACAAAATCTCGATAGAAAAAAATTTGAAATTTTATCGTTTTAGTAAGAACGTACCCCCCTTATGATTTTTTTGGAAAATTTTGACAGGTCATAACTTTTTTTCTATTATAGATAGAAAGCTGAATCTTTCACTGAATTTTATCCCTTTCAAAGGACTACAATCCCTGAAAATTTCAGCACATTGACACTTATAGTTCCTGAGATAACATCGTGTTAAGCAATTGGGGTGATTTATCAATTTTTCAATTTTTCTGAGTGCCTTTTTTCATAGATTTCGGCTTCAAATCTGAGAATAATTTAGTTTATGGAAATCAGGGTATCACGAGGGACCATTAAGACACAAAATCTCGACAGAAAAAAATTTGAAATTTTATCGTTTTAGTAAGAAGGTACCCCCCTTATGATTTTTTTGGAAAATTTTGACAGGTCATAACTTTTTTTC